CCAATCCATCGAACAAACATTTCAAGACCCTTCTATTTTCGAACCGGTACCTCAAGACCCAACTTCCATTGTCCCATCACTTGTTGAAACCCTCCAGCGAACACCGGGAATTCCTACCACTGGGTAGTTGGCAACGGACGACAACTACCGCTGGATACATCTTGACAAAGCGAAAGAAAGACTTTCGGAGTGGCCGGCCCATCATCTCCTTTGTGGACTCTCCGTTTCGTCCTATGCTCAACATCCTTGCTCGGCTTAGCTTCCAGTTGATCCCCGTGGCGTGCCCAAACCACTTTGCGTCAGGGGATGTCTACACACTTTAATGACCATTCTCAAGTCAGCGCCTGTCGACGCCGATCTCATTCTGGTCAACCAGGATCTAGCTGGATTCTTCACGACCAAGACCGATTCGTAGGGGCCTGGTTCATGCTCCTGGATTAACTTCGACCTCACATGGACGTGTCAGACAAGGAAGCATTTTCTGTCTATCCAGGAAAGACCAACAATCCAGGAGATATCATCAAAGGCCGCACCTTTCGTCGCCTCAACGTCACTCGGAAGATCATTATCAAGGACGTTCCCGACCTAATTAGAACTTATTCATTCGCCACATTAAGACCTTTCACCATATGAAGTACTGCTCGATGATGGGTTCTACAGGAACAAATCATCCTCGAAACAGAACCTGATCAAGAATTTCTTGGCTTCATGCTGGAGACAAAACCATTGGAACTGATCTATCAGGGTCCTACCAATGTCTCCCAAGTCCTATCCCCTTTTTCAGCATCCCCACCGAAAGTACTTTTGAGTGGCTTCCGATCTCGGTGCCACATCGTTGTCAAAGGAGCATTCCCGGAGTTTCGTGTTCGACAAGGGCTTGATCAATTAATTCATCTGTACACTCTGGCTGGATTTCCCAATGAGGAACTCCACAACATCTCTACTCAAATCCTGATTCAGCATCAGAACCTTCAGACGCATGAGCAAAAGATCGCCCACTGATTCCTTCCTGCTGCATCTAGGCTCTGTTACTTCAGGATTTTATTCTGTTACTTTTAACTAATTTTCTGGAGTGTTAATTGTTCTTCTGTGCTCGACATCAGCCTGGCTCAAACTTGCTTACACAGTCTCGCTCATCGTGTGATCCCTTCCATCATGGACCACGCTCAAGGCCGAGCATTTCACCATCACCTGGCTCGGGCCATCATGCATTTGAATTACCTAGCGGGACTCCTTCCCTTCTTTGAACCATCAATTGAATGGGACGACCCATCCACTGAACATCATCCCAGATCTGGGTGTTCCAACCCAGCTTCAAGAACTCTTCACACATTCGTCCCCTTGCCTGTTTTTGTCGAAAGCACCGACAATGGTATCTCATGGAGGCATCCCGACCCATATGGTCCTGAATCCCGAACCAAACCTCCACCCACGAGAAGAAGAGGGACACCGCCACATCGAAGTCAACGCTCGCAATCCTACCTCAAGTGTGGGCCATCCCTCAACGCCGGTTCTGGAAACCCCCAAGTGGGGCAGACCAGTACCTGACTTCCCTCGTGCGACCACTCGAACCACAATACCTGTCCCGGTTCGGTCAAAGCAACGATCCAATCCAGTCGAGGCTCCGCAACCGAAGAAAAAGCAGCGAGTGACCCTATCGGCTCCCGATGGCTTCAACTCTGATGACTCAGACGAAGATGCAGCCTCCAAAGCTCCCTCCGCCCACGAAAATTCTACAGTGGAAACAGGTCCAGCTACGACCACGATCTTGACATCGAACACCCATACCACACCACCTCCGGGCACTTCCACTTCCATCGAACCTATTCCAAATCCCACCATTCGTATCCTCCAACCTGCAGATTCGGCACGTGGTCATGGATCCGTCCCTTTTCGTCCGTGGACGGACATTGAAGACTAAGAACTGATCAATCTCAAGAATGACACCAAATCTCGCCCTTCATGGAAATCGATTGGTGCGAGGTTACGTCGTGATCCTCAAACGTGCAAATTGCGCTGGGCCATTCTCAAACAAATGTCCGACCAACACGGTCCGGATCAGCCCCCTCATGAGCCGGAGGCAGAGGACTAAGAGCCTACGAAAAGAAAAAGAAAAAAGAGTGGCTGTTCTATCATTCACATTACCATTTCACCTCATCTCCATGTCTCCATTTCTTGTCCTTTTGATGGGTTGTTTGTTTCCTACCTCTGTCTGAATTTTCTCAGTCATTATGGCTTATTCATCTAATTACGTACGTGTGGCCCCCGATCGTTCCCGCTCTCGGGATGATCCGCCCATGTGGAGCAACCCACATCCTGCTCGACAACGCAATCCTCAGTATCGTGACTCATGGCATGACGTTCCACCGCTCCGGCAGCTTCGCCGAGTACTGATCATCGTCAACTTAGAGCAGATTCGGTCTCTTATGAATGCACATCATTGTGACGCCATGGAAGCCACGACCTGCCGTGAATTATCTTCACTTGGCCGACTGGAAGAATACGCACTGTTCACTCTTGGTCCACCCGGCCCAAACTCAGACTTCGCGGTAGACATCCTGCTGTATTACATCAGCCAGCACATTACATATACCTGGGACTGCTACCTGGAACCTTCTTCCATGGATCTTCGTTGGCAAGATAGCACCGGAGACACCTTCGTCCTTCGCAATGGACAGATCCTGATTGATCTTTTACGTGAACACCTCCTCATTGGACTGAAGGCCAAGAATTTGGCATCCTGTCGCTTATAATGAAATTCGTGCTTTTGATAATCCTAATCAACCATATATTATGCGCTTGAGTTGCCCACGAGGCACTAAGACCGTCCTGTTTAACTCAATTTGTCCACTCAAGTTAATCTGAATTTGTACTCTCTTTTAAGTTTCCTCTCCTGCTCCTCGTTTCATGATTTTCCTTGACTCTTGGCTTAAGACTTGATCATGACCAAAAGGGACTCCGTTTGTGCCGGCATTGACTCCCCCCGCGTTCCCACGAGCATGCAACGTTGGCAATTTGCCATTCAATTCCATCCCAGAAGCGGCGCTGCTTCTTCAGAGGATGCTTCATCATCGGCCACTGCAATGGGATCCTGGCCTCAAGACCTGAATCATCCCCATGGATCCGACCCAAGTGGTACGACGTCAAATGCTCCTCAATTTGGATATACATCAGAGATCCCTCCCGTCCCTTTTCCACCTGGACCTCCATCCCACCCCCAAGGAGAAGCTTACCCACTACAATCGGAAATCCAACAACAGCATCGAGTGCTTCACTCTCACATCTTCAAGGAGGTCGTGGCACCTCCCCAGTCGTCCTAACCGCCTCATGGTGACGGAGATTGACCGCTGGGGAGAAGAACGGAACCGCCAACCGGAATTTTTCTTCAATGGAATTGTTGGTCATGTGAGATCAGACAATGATGGTCACATCAATAGCTGGGATCAAGCCACCCGACTAGTCAATTACTGGCGTCGATTTTACAATATTCCTGAAGTACATGCTGAACACACTTCGTGGAACTCATCGTGGCACAACTACCAGCAACCGTCTGACATTGCTGACCGAACATCTGAAGTTCAAGAAGCACCACCTGAATCTGAGATGGAAGACGATGCATCTATCACTGCCAACATTGAATGGCACATTACCGATTCCAAGTCAGATCTACCAACTGGCCACCGTCCTTCACAACATTCTCCTTACCGACAGGGACTCCAATGCAGCGATCCTTGAGAAGCTAGAGAATCCCCAGGAGGATTTGAATGCCAGTCCGATCCAGGTGTTCACGGCGGGAGATTTGGCCCACCTTGCCAGCCACTTGGCAACCACATCACAGACTCTTGCCCAACATGCCCAGAACCTAGAGATGGAAGACCTTTCTGAGATTGACGACTAGCTCCGATGCAAACCCGATTGTGATGCCAGAGGCAACACCCCAGTCGGAAATGGCGACACCCTTTGAAAACTACCTTTCTGACCTGTACTGAGCATTCCGGCCAATTCATTTGCATTTCTTTCCCTGCAATTTTGATTTCATTGAGACATCCAGCCTCAGGGAACGTATAAGAGCAGCTCGACTTCCATTGCACAAAACGGCCTCGCGGCAGCGGGGCGTGTGTGTGAAACATCTGAAAAGATGTAAAACTTCTAACACTCGTGGTCTTTTATTTCTCAGTTTCTTGAATCACTCAGGGTCTCATTTTCATCAACTTATGTATGTATGTATTCAGCAGGGGGCACAGGTGTGACTCTGGTTCCTGTGCCAACGAAAACGGCCAGAAGTCACAGTGATATCAAAGGGAGACGTCCCTTTGACGTACCTGCTTCAAATTTCATTTTTCATGTCAATTTTCTGCAATGGGACGTGGCTAACCCAAGAACCACCATGCCGTTTCCTAACAACTCCTGTGCATGGTTTTATACGGTCGCCGCAATCTGACCATTTTACATTGTCAATAGAAGAAGAAGGAACTGCATTGATTTGATTCATCTAGCCAGGACGTAGAAAGATTACCTTCGAGTAGTTTCTCACTTCTGATCTTCCAACCACTCCTGTCAGGTTTTACTGAAGTGTTTTTGCACGTACGATGCAGTCCACATCAAAATTCGCAAAGATGGTTCTGAGCAAGTGTGTGAAAGGTTTGAACAGACGAAAAACTTCGCCCCCTAATATTAAATTAAGATAATTAAGAACCTTATTTAAAAAAACTGAAATTTTTGATTTAGCAAGCGGACCCTAAGAGAAAAACACCCCGGGGTTAACTAGTTTTTATTATTAGGGGGGTGAAACCCACAAATAGTAGCTTCATTTTTAAATTGTTCTCTACATGGGATCAATTAGAAGTCAAATTGGCCAACCTCAAATTTTCCAAAATTGGAGACGGACTCTAGTTTTTACTATTTGGGGGGGTTTAGTAATAGGGGGAAGGGATTATTTCTTCGACCCATCTCCGTCTGGTTGGATTGGCTCCCAAATCCAGACGTTTTGAAGTCTGCAGGAGAGCCATTCCTTGTGTCTGGCATGGTTGGGGTGGCTGGACGTCGTCCGGCATCCCAGTCTGGACGTATTTTACATGGCCTGAAGATGAAAGAGAGCAGGTCTGCATAAAGATAGTGAACGTTGGGTAAGAACACAAAATTGGTGAATTCTTTGTTCTTGTCGAGTTTTTGACAGAAACACCCGGACCATTTGAACTATCAGTAGCTCTTGCAAACGCTGCCGCTGCCCACTGTTACGCAAAGTGACGAGCAAACAAATTAACATTTATTTCCGAAGCATCTCCATGATTCCTATGAAATGTGAAGGGAGGTTGTTCCTGAAATAAATGATAATTCTGAAAACATCTGAAAACGGTTTTCTTATATGTGGCAGTGTAATTTTGAACCGGTGAGGCTAGGGTGTGGACATGCAAACTTCGCCCAGAAGGTGACCCTAAAAGGCGAATGAATCCTGAAGTTGTTGGTGGTCAATAAGCCGGCAACCAACTTTTATTACTCGGGGTGTCGCCAGAGGGGTTGGTTCCGCCGTGATGCATCCGTTGATTCTGTTGTTTGCTGGGTTGGATTAGATTTTATGACCACCAACCCCTCGGGTGTCACGAAACTCCAACAGCAAAAACTCGAACGAAAGTGTGGGAATGGTGCCAAGATGTGCCAAGTGTTCATGATTCTGTCTTTTGGAGATGACTTTCGCATTGAGACCTCCGTTTAGTTCAGGCATTCCCATTGCCCATTGCCATGTTTGATTACCCAAGATAGTTAGTTGTTTACATCGCATTATATCCGCAATCCCTTAAAAAACTAAATCACAAATCACCAATTTTGGATGCTCACTACCAGGTGCAACAAGCCGTGTGGCACGGGACAACAAAGCCGCACACGTGGGGTGAGAGTCCACGCTCAACACGGAGGAAGAGGATGCACTGGCTCCGGCAAGGAGACCGAAGGATCTGGTGGTTAGCGCAAATGAGCATAGATACAATATTGTTAGTTGTCAATACTGGTACAACACATCTTAGAATGTAACTATTATTATACTTATTTAGTGAATACAATAGAATAGAACAGAAGAGAATAGACTATCATTGACTAATAGAATATAACATACTATGATAGAATAGAATATAACAAATAAAATAAAATTACAAATAGTTAGTTACTTTACTTCGAGTGATCCCCATCCTGACATGTTGTTCTGACATTCTATCTGACATATATTCTAACATTCTATTTTATATTCTATTTGGCATTCTATCTGACATATATTCTGACATTCTTTCTGGCAGTCAACCTGACATATATCCTGACCTTCTACATGACATATATTTTGACATCTATTTGGCATCTATTCTGACATTGTTTCTGGCATTCTTTGTGACGTATATATTGACATTCTACCCGACATTTTACCTGACATCCTACCTGACATATATTCTGACAATCTATCTGGCATATACTCTGACATTCTTTCTAGCATTCTCTCTGCCATATATACTCACATTCTACCTGACATATATTTTGACCTCCTATCTGGCATTCTATCTGACATATATCCTGACATTCTACTGACATATATTCTGATGTGCCCCACAGCATCCGGAGCTGGCAATATGGTGTTCGGGCCCAGGGGACGTGAGGGCGGGCGTGCGGAGTTGCACCTTTGTTAAAGTCGGAGTTTGGCCATGCCACAATATAATACAATACAATATAATATTATTCTTTTTTAAATGTAGCGTATAAAATATAATATTTCATTGCTAATAGATTTTAATTTAATATGTAATATGATGTAGAATATAGTAAAATGTAATACAATGTAATATGATATAATAGAATAAATTGTATCAACTAGTACACTTGAAAAATGTATCATATTATATGAAATTTAGAATATTATATCAATAATACATATTTGAAAGATATATATATATAAAATAGAAATTGCATGCTATAATACAATTGAATATTTTTTTTTATTTTAACCTAATATTTTCAAAAATGTAAAATGTAAAGATATATTAACATGTATTTAATGCCAAATAATGTACAACCTAAAATAATGTAATATAGTATCATGTTATTGCATTGAGTACAACATCATACAGTATTTTTGGAATTTAATTTAGCAATACATAATATTAAATAATCTAGTTTAACACAATCAAAAATAGTTTTCAATATAACAAAAAAATGTATTTCTTCTGTTCAATTTTATATGCAATAGATTTTGATAGAATATAATCTAATTTAATTTAGTATAACATAGTAAACTTCAATGTAATATGATACAAAGTGAATCAAAATAATATAGTATATAATAAGTTTATTTGTTAAAATAGAATAGAATATAATAACACATAATATGATTTAATTTCATTTAATCTAATTTAATGTAATAAAACATGATTTGATATAGTTTAAAATGATATATGATATTTTAATATGTATAACTTAATATTATAAAATCCCCCATATTGTATAATATTTTTTGGTAAAAAATGTTTACTATGTAACATAAGATAACATAATATGCTATACAATATTTAATTTAATGTTATATTTTGATATAATGTAAAATATATCATAGTAAATAACAATGAATTTAATATAATATACTATCTAATTTGATAAAATTTAATCTAATTTCATTCAATATATAGTATGATAAAATAAAATATAAGAAAATTCAATTTTCAAAATGATATAAAATGCAATTTGATATAAAACATGGTTTCAAATGTAATTTAGTAAAATTTTTTGTATGATGTGAAATTTCATAGAATGTCAAATTTATATGGAATGTTGTAGAGCTTAAATTTCAAGATAAAATCAAAACATATAAGGTGAGATTTTTTTCATCATGTATAATTGACCATATATAAGGCCAGGTGGTATAGTACAAAATGATATGATAGAATATTCTGACATGATACAACATAGCATGATAAAACAGAAAACAGCACTCTATAGTTTATAATGTAAGATGTTTGATATATGGTATAAATGAAATGATTTAATCTGTAATGATTATAAGGAATAATAAATCACAAATACTATTTAACAAAGAACTGTCTTCTAATACATGCTGTATGAGGCATGATGTCAAATTTACTGTAAAATATTGCTTATGACATACAGACTATATTATACATATGTATATTCTAAAATATACAACAAACAAATAATATACAATATTTCAAGTATGTAAAAAAAAAAAATAACCTAGAATTTGTTCGTATTTAATATCTAATAACCAGCAAATAATAAACAATACGTAATACGTGAAATAAGACATTAATCACTAAGAATATAGCATTTAATATGGAATATTCAATGTATAGTATTTGATATGCAACATTTAATTTACAATACCAATAATATATATGATATATGATGTGTCATAATGAGAAATATAATATACAGCAAATAATATTTGACATAAAACGTGAATTACCTAGAACATAATAATAATAATATTTAATAGATAAAAAAATGTGAAATATATACTGACAGATATTCAATGTAACATATCATTTAAACATATGGTATAAAAGATATGATGTCAAGAATGTATCGTGGAATTTCGAAGATCTAAGACACTGTATTCAATATACAGTACCGAATATCTGAAATAGAATCTACAGTAAAATAGATAGTATACAATACACCGTATATAATATAATATTTTTAAATATGCAATATTTAATTTACACTTTAAAAGATTTATATAATAAATAACTTACGATGCTATATATAAAATAATATATATATATACATAACATATAATGTATAAAGTATGACATATAATATATGTATATAATATTTAGTTTATTGTTTGAAACATAACATAAATAAAATAAAATGTAATACTATAAGTAATTTGCTTTAATCTAAAAAAGTATAGTATGTAATATATTGTATAGTTTTTAGTTTAAACTGTATAATGTACAACATGTAATATTGTATTTGACATCATATTTGATTTGATACAGTATAGTATACTGAAATAAAGCATGAGAAAAAGATAATATACTATAGTAAAATACATAATCGAAGAAGGGTTTGTTCCTTTGCCATGAAAACTAGTTTTGGCCAGCTGGAGTTCTTCTTGCTTTGGAAAGAAAGGTGGCTCTACCCCATGCACGTCGTGGGATTGATTCTCTCAGGGACATACGAAATACATCTCATTTTTGATTCATTTTGCATAGTTCATAGTGCAACCTTCCATTCGAATCATTGACTCCACCCCGCGTTTGCCAAAAACTGGTTCAGGAGACCAGGAACTGCAATACACATCATTGTCCAGTCAATTGTGTTTGGAAACCTTTTGGAGCCTGGGGAAAGTGTCTTGGCAGTGCATTTGACATCCATCTTTGCATCGAAGCTAAAGCGCGTGAGTGGCCTGAGTGGTTGGCAACCAAGGTTGTGACTCCCAACATGGTCTGGTTCGAAAAAGGGATACCAACGCACGACATATACAAATTTACTGTAGACCTCACATCTTTTGAACGAATCCCATACAGGTGCGGAAACTGGGCCATGACGCCAAATGGCAAATTCACTTTGAAAACAAGTGCAAGCAAATGCAGTTTTGCTATACCAGACTCTTGCGCGCGCGCACACGCTTGCTCAGAACTGTCATTGCGAATTCTTTTGTGGAATGCATCTTACGTGCAAAAACAATCCAGTTGCAGCTAACAGGAGTGACCTGCCAACTTGCAGGAAGCTACCATCGCCACAGCCAGTGAAGGTTCAACATCGATGTTGAAAGTGTGCAGATTGCGAAAACCGTACAGACAAACAAGTGACATCAGATTGGTCGAAAACGATTGAAGTTGGTTGAACTTGGGGTTGAAAATGGTTGCAAAAGCGGCGAGGTGGTTCTTGGGTTAGCCACTACCCATCTCCGAAAATGACATGTAAATCAAATTGGTAGAAGGGACGTGACAAAGGCGTCCCTTCGTCATATCCCCATGGAAAGGCAGTGTCTTCGTTGGTGGATGACTGCCAGACCATGCATCCACCCCCTGCTTTGAAATTGCAGTCACAAAAGAACCTTGTAAACGACCGAACGAAGCAATTCAGAAAAAGTAAAAGCAATCCACAGATAGAAGTTTTACACCAAGTCAGATGGTTCACACATACACACACACACACGTGGGTAGAGGTCAAAATTGGATACCCCCAAATTGGATTGTTAGTATTCAGCAGAACCAAAATTTGCGGTCCTCCGTCAAATTCTGACCCATCTAAAAACCTTTACCACAAAATCCACTAGTAGACCATGCCTTCCCCATTACAACAGATATAATTCATTATTTATCTCCCATTAGAACGGCTGTTTTGGGGCACAAATCCACCATTTTCAGGTACCAAATTCATTTTTCGTGATCGTCAGGTGCTCCAAAACGTGCGCTGGTGGAGTGCAGAAACGAACGAGGGGCGTGGCGAGGGCTGCCGCCCATGGCGGGAAAAAGTGCACTGGTGCGGCCGAGGATGGTGGGATGGTGGGGCCGGTGGTAGTTTTTGGAGTTCCTCGGAGTTGGTTGGAAGATTTTGAAGATATTGTCAGCAGTTTTTGAATATAAGTATCTCCGCTTTCTGTTTTTTTGGACATGTTTTCTGAATTTCAGGCACGGAGATAAATTCGCAAGGTCTTGAAACAAGATGTAACATGCCCAGCACGTCGCAGCGGAGGAGTCGAAGAAGTGCAACGAGCAACCCTGTCCCGTGGATTGTACCTGGGCAAAGTTGTTGGGAGATTTTGGAGGTTTGAGGTGGGAACATGTGGGAACTGGGGTATACTGTATAGAACACCAGAAAATGCATAACTCTAAATGCAGTTTGGTGATTTTAACAATTGTAGATCATGTTAATCATGTTGATCTTGACTTTTTTACCAGCAGATTGCTGGCGCAGTTGGTCTCCGCTGAGGTAAATACGCCGAGTGGGGCGAGTGGGCCGACTGCAGTGTGACCTGTGGCAACGGCACAAGGAAGCACGCGCGGGAGGTTGAGACCGAAGCACAGCATGGAGGCCGTTGAGATTTTGGAAGTTCGTTCATGGGATGTCCATAATGTGGTAGATCCATCTACTGTAGATGAGCTTATAAACCTACCATGTAGGGATAGTTTTTACGGCCCATTTCTGGTGAAACTGGGGATGGCTTTTCATTAGGTTTACCACATTCTTTTCTTTTAGCGATCACGGGTGAATTGAATTCTAAGAAACAGAGAAAAAGACTTTGCAGGTGGAACTTGTTTATGTGGGCTCTGCGACATGGCTGCCCGTGCTTTGGCGATCCGCGAGAACATATCTAAATGGATGATTCTTTAGGTGATAGCTCGGACACTGTTCTGCTAAGCTGACGTTTTGGGAAATTCTACAGATAAACGTATGTACATATATATATATATATATGGCTTTTAACTTCGAATAACATGGGCCTGTTGCTCAAGCTGTGATGCCTGCCTGGTTGGGTGACTTGCTCCGTCTTTTGTCGGTGGGTGGCTCTACTCAGTGGTTTGGTTTGGTGTGCCCTGTTCACTGCACGGTCTCCTTGCCCTACTTGCTGTCTATGTTCTGTGCTGGGGTGTGCCTTGGGATTTTGGGCACCGTCTTCTCTGCTGAATTCTCCTGTGGCCTTGGCCTTGTGGCCATTCCCCCAGCATCCCTGCCTCCACCTCCCTCCGGATCAGTCCTGCTTCTCGGCTGTTAGCCTACTTGCATGAGCGCCCTGTCCGTTCTCATCACCTCGATTAGGACGGTCATTGTCACTCTTCGATTTCTTGCTGACGGCCTCGAAGCCGCCGCTCATTTGGCTGAACATTAATCGATTGCATCTCTTCTGCCCCATCGGCATCCATTCCTCACACTGAGTCTAGGCCTCAGCCTAGGGAAGGTTTTGGAAGCTGAGACGAGGTTGCAAAGGAAAAGATGCCATCTCTATCATGGTCCTGCTGGGAAATCCACTTCGGCTGCAACGCAATAGATTCTGGCTTCCCCTGCTGAAGGGAAGAATGAGAGACCGACTCAGGTGTGAAATGGGGAAGCACCTTGTAGTATTCAGCCGCGCTGTAGCAAACCACAGGCTGAGCCAAACCAGGAGCACGAAGAACCACGTACACCTGGGAGCGCAGGTTGATCGAGGACGTAGGCCTCGGCTTAGGAATGCGCCCAGACGAAGTAGCCCGAGCCCACTGGCCAGCTTCCCAAGCTCGCTGAACTCGTTCCCTGACAGAAATGTCGGTCCCAGCAAGCCTGTTGCAAAATGCTGATTCCCAAGTGGTCTGACATCCCTGTCAGAGGTCAAGACATTGGATCGCGGCCCTTTGTTTCTGTATGTGCTGCTTCTCCCAGAGTTCGAGGTAGAAGGCACGAAGTACGAGAGCCAGGAGGTTTTTGCAGTTCCCATTTTCTCCAGGAAAGATGGACTTCTTTTTGTTCTTCCCCACAAGGCGCTGTTCCCGATGCCTTGGTGTCCTCCGATCTCCTTCTGGCTGTGGACGAGCTTTTGGGTCCTTGCGCTCAGGTTTCAGTGGGATTGGCAGCAGAAGGCGAAGACGGGCAAGAAGTTCCCTTAGATCTCGAGACTCCGTGCATTTTGGCAGATTTTCATGTCAGTGTTTTGCAGAGGTTGAAGCCATACGACCCAGTGACAGATGGTTCTGGTATTCTTCATTTTTCCAGAGAAGATATAGATGTAGTTCCACTTTCCCATCATCTTCAAGAGCTGGCATTGAAGTGGATCGAGACCATCTCCAGCGAGCGTTGAGGCGACTTTGGAGCCCCCTTGGGCAGGGAAAGCTTCCCCTGCCACGAAGGCCAAGGCAAAAGCTCCTTCTCGGAATGTTGCAGCTCAACGTCCTGCGCATCGGCGCGATTTCGAGCAGCTTCCAATTTCTCCTCAAGCGCTCAGCAAGACCCAGTTTATGTCCACGATTGGAGGAGCTCCAAAGACCAAGCAAGCTCCTCCTGCAGTGCCAGGTCTTTTCCCGGAGGACGAGCCAGCGGTGCCTTTGGAGGAGATGGAGATGGACAGGCCGGACTTGGATCCCATTTCACATTCTCTGCCTGTGCAACAAAAGGCTCTGACATCTTTGGTGGCTCAAATAGCTCAAGATGGACTTCACGAGCTGGGAGCAGGCAGCTTTTCTTCAGCAGGCCTGTCTTTGAAAGGGTTTCAGAAAAGGGATACGTTGATTGCGGACTTTGCGAGCAAACGGGGGGATTTCTCCTGAAGGTAGCCCAAAACGCCTTCAAGCGACTGAAGCCAACAGAAACGCTCCCTCAGGATCTTCCATCTTTCCAGGGCAAAGCGGTGGTCACCTGGAGCGTCAAGGAGGGTTTGGAGGTCAGCGCGATTTGGGTCTGGTCATGTGGCTCCTTTGCAACATGGCGATATGATGGTGGCAGGAGATCAGATTGGGGGCTCAGGAGCTTCTTGCTCTCACTTAACAGGAGGATCCGCCGGCTGGAGTGTTCGCGGCGAAGCCTCCGGCCACCAACCCTCGGTTGAGGGCCTTTGCTCCCCTGTGTCCTCCAGAGTGGGCAACGACGGCCTTAGCCTATCTGAAGGAGGCAGATGTGATTCAGTCTCGCCGCCAAGAAGCTATCCCCAACCGGAAGCCAGTTGGAAATCTTTCCGAGAAAGCCGAGGCTGCGCCCAAGCGGAAGAATCAGAGATACCCCAAGAAGCGGACGAAAGATGATCCATGGAGGTGAAAAAGATACTAGACGACGGATGGCCCGAGAGCGTAGAGGAGCAGGGTCTTCTCTTGTTGACACCATATTACAAAACAATATATTAAAGATGTGTTATAGGCAGACGAGAAGAGGAGTATCAAGACAATATAGCACAAGTACAAGACAATAGTTTGCATCGCAAACACTTTTACACACAGAAGTTTTTACACACAGACGCTTTTACACACAAAAGCTTTTACACACAGAAGCTTTTACACATAGACGCTTCTACACACAGACACTTTTACGCACAGACGCTTTTACACACAGGCACTTTTACACACAGACACTTTTTACACACAGGCGCCTTTACACACAGACAGTTTTACACACAGAAGCTTTTACACACAGTTGCTTTTACACAGACGCTTTTACACACAAAAGCTTTTACCCACAGAAGCTTTTACAGACAGAAGCTTTTACACACAGACGCTGTTACACACAAACACTTTTACATACAGACGCTTTTACACACAGAAGCTTTTACACAGACACTTTTACACGCAGACCCTTTTACACACAGGAGCTTTTACACACACAGAAGCTTTTACACGCAGACCCTTTTACACACAGAAGCTTTTACACACAGACGCTTTTACACACAGACGGTTTTACACACAGGCGCTTTTACACACAAGCACTTTTACACACAAACACTTTTACACACAGACGCTTTTACACACAAACACTTTTACACAGAAACACTTTTACACACACACTTTTACACACAGGCGCTTTTACACAGACAGTTTTACACATAGACGCTTTTACACACAGACGCAACCTCATTTCGTGCGAAAGGGTTCGCGGGACAAGAGGGACGACTTGCAATCGCAATTTTACCGCAGTTTTTGACGATCGAACCTCATTTCGTGCGGAAGGGTTGCGCGGGACGACTTGGGAATCGCAATTTTACCGCAGTTTTTGGCGATCGAACCTCATTTCGTGCGAAAGGGTCGCGCGGCACGACTTGCAAATCGCAATTCTACCTCAGTTTTGGGCGATCGAACCGCATTTCGTGCGAAAAGGTTGCGCAGGACGACTTGCAAATCGCAATTTTACTTCAGTTTTTGGCGATCGAACCTCATTTCGTGCGAAAGGGTTGCGCGGGACAGCTTGAAATCGTAATTTTACTTCAGTTTTTGGCGATCGAACCTTATTTCGCGCGAAAGGGTTCGCGGGACAAGAGGGACGACTTGAAATCGCTTTTTGGCGATCGAACCTCATTTCGTGCGAAAGGGTTGCGCCGGACCACTTGAAATCGCAATTTTATTCAGTTTTTGGCGATTGAACCTCATTTCGTGCGAAAGGGTTGCGCGGGACAGCTTGAAATCGCAATTTTACATCAGTTTTTGGCGATCGAATTTCATTTCGTGCGGAAGGGTTGCGCGGGACGACTTGGAAATCGCAATTTTACCTCAGTTTTTGGCGATCGAACCTCATTTCGTGCGAAAGGGTTGCGCAGGGCGACTTGCAAATCGCAATTTTACTTCAGATCGAACTTCATTTCGTGCGAAAGGGTTGCGTTTCGTGCCGTCTCGTTGGCACTGCCCCTGCCCCCGCCTTCAAGAGAGATAGAAAAGAAGGAGAGGGCAAGAGGGCAAGAGGGCAAGAGGGCAAGAGGGCAAGAGGGCAAGAGGGCAAGAGGGCAAAGCTAAGAGCGAGCAAGAGGGCAAGAGGGCAAGAGGGCAAGAGGGCAAAGAGGGCAAAGAGGGCAAAGAGGGCAAAGAGGGCAAGAGGGCAAGAGGGCAAGAGGGCAAGAGGGCAAGAGGGCAAGAGGGCAAGAGGGCAAGAGGGCAAGATGTGAGGATGAGAAGATGTGAAGATGAGCAGATGTGAAGATGAGAGGATGAGAAGATGTGAAGATGTGAAGATGAGCAGATGAGAAGATCTGAGGATGAGAAGATGTGAAGATGTGAAGATGAGAAGATGTGAAGATGTGAGGATGGGAAGATGTGAGGATGAGAAGATGTGAAGAGGAGAAGATGTTTTACAGACCCCCACTATTGGAAGAACCCTGCGCTCAGACGCTCTCGGGAATGAGTGCCGCTGCTCATAGCCCTAGAGCCAGTGAGCGGACAGCTGGCATCCTATGTTCTGGGGAGGACAACACGCCGCTCTGAAAGGATGCCCAAAGAATTTGTGAGTCACCAGCTTTGCACGATGATGGCAAGCCCAGTGACATGCATGCGATTGAAGCTCTCCCTTCGTGGCCTTCGCTTCAAAAAGTTTCATTTTATTCTTGGGTCTCTTCGCTCTGCAGAGATGTTTTGAGAAGAACTCCTTTTTCTGCGTTTTTGAGGTCAACCATGACTGTCCGCAGATCCCAACTTCAAGGATCTGAGAAGGCCTTGTGTCCTTTTCCTGTGCCTCGAGATGGAATCTTTTCTTCCCACAAGAAGGTTGGCTCTAGGCAACGACGAAAGATTGCTTTTGATCGTGGTTTTCATGTGGTCATCATGGCGTTGAACTTCTGGCATGCTGATTGCAATTTTGTTCCTTCTCAAGAACTGGCAAAGATCCCTTCCCCTGCGCAGACTAGATGTTTGGTCAACATGAGGAAGTTGCTGAAGGCCTATGGTAGCTGTGAGGATGAGGTTTCAGTCCCCAGTAGCGGCCGGAGATCCACAACCCTGACATCCCAACTTGCTGACCTTTGCGAGTTTTTGACATGGCAAGGTGCATCAGGTGATTCCTATAGGTAGAGATGCTTCTCTGTGCCCTTACCGAAGTTTGGATCCTGAGCGTCTCAAGCTGTCAGGTTCTGGGCACTGGGATCCTTCACCGTGCTTGCGGCTTCTGTGGCATCGACTGCCGGGGGACAGACACGCATCTGTCACGATTTGAAGAAAGCTCGGACATGTCAGCTCTGCAACTGCTCCTCATCTGACGAAAGCCCCCTAGACTATGTGGGGGAGGAGATCTTCCCCGAGGCCTCTGGCCGGGTGCCTTGGAGAAGCTACGATAAAGCAAAAGCGCAAGATGGGGGGAGTCATATTCAGCTGTGCTTTCTCTTGCAAAACTTTGGGATGCTCGTGGCCAAGTCTTTCTTTGGAGCAAGATGATTGGAGCCAAGATGCAACCAGCATGCGGCTTTTCAACTGTTACAAGTCAGAAACCGTAGACCGCATGATAGATGCAGTGGAAGGCATCATTCCTGGGGCTTCCCGTGCCCTTCCTACAGCTTGGCTTTGGGAGCCTTGGAGATCAAGCCTTCATTCGAGAGGTTTTCAGTTTGCATCTCAGACTGGAAGGATTTCTACCACCAATTCGAATCTACGCCCCAGAGAACCAAAACCAACATGTGTTTTCCTCCTCTCTTGGCTTCAGATTTGGAGGGCACTTCAGCGCTTGCTTCATGGACTTTCTCAAGAAGCAAGAAAGGTAGACCGAAGTACGACAGGCTGAAGCATGGTGATTTTTTGGATAGATTTGGCCTTCTTTGCGGAAAGGAAGACTCTTCCCAAGATCTTTTCCTTCGTGCCTGTTTTGCTAGCCTTCCACAAGGAGATGCCCTTGGAGTTGAATTTGCTGTGGATAGCCATCAAGCGCTCATCCAATCCCACGACATTATCAACGATCATACAGAGCTGCGTGCAGACAGAGTTTTTCGAGGTTTGCGCGATGCTGTTGGTCTGGTCATTGATGATTTCTATGCAGTCCCAGTTGTTTCGACAGAAGCCACTGCCGGTGTGGAGAAGTCCTGGGCGACCCAGAAAATGGAGAAGGCACAGCAGGTTTACAAAGCTGAGGGCCTCTTAGGTCCTGAGGAGAAGGATGTCTACGATGCTGCGTTTGCCAAGGTGACTGGGGCTGAGTTGAACTCTTCAGATGCAGTTAGGGCGCTTGGTCTTGCTACTCTTGGATCCCCCTGGAAGAAGAGATTGTCTTTGTCTTTCTTGTCTCTTACGCTTGCTCAGCTGGGCTGGACCACTGGCAGTCTTCATCTTTGTCTCCTTGGAGGGTGGGTTCATAGCTTGCTTAATCGGCGTCCTATGATGAGCATTCTTTCAGAAAGCTTCCATTTGGTTGCTTCGTCTGATGTCAATCAAGACAAACCAAAGGTCACAAAGCTGCCGCGGAAGGTTGCCCTGGAGTTGGTGCTTTTCGCTGTTTTGTCTCCCTTGATGGTTTCAGATCTTTCAGCAGAGCTGTCATCAACGGTATACGCTACAGATGCCTCTGATGCCGGGGGCTCTTATGTGTGCACTCATGTTTGGCAAGATGTGGCTCGTGCGTTATGGAGAACTGGGCGGAAGCGGGGGGGCTATGTCAGGATGCAGACCAGAGAAGAGGGTATGATGAGAAAGCTGGATTTCATGGATGAGCATGCGGAGGAGGAAGGAAGCACTTGCTAGCTCTGCCAATTCAGTTAGCCGACCCCTTGCTTTGCGTTTTTATTTCCTTGAAGTTTGTGGAGGGAGTGGAAAGGTTTCCAAGTTTGTGTCAGAGCGAGGATGGGTGGTGGGTCCAGTTTTAGACCTTGACAGATCACCTCACTATTTGTGCAACCTTCGAGTGCTTAGCCATGAGGTATTCACTCATTGGAATCCGGCTTGCTTGATTCGTTCGTGGTGGAGCCTCCCTGCACGACTTTCTCTCCAGCCCTGGGTACCACCTTGGCTCTACGGGCTTTGACTCTCATGTGGATTGCGAATCAGGTGGCTGCCCCAGCTTTGCTTGAACAACCCAGGAAGACCAAGATGCGTAGGCTTTCGGAATGGGAATTTTTGGTGAAGAGCGGCTTGCTTGAGGAGCTCGTGACAGCTTCATGCATGTTTGGCAGCATCCATCTCAAGGAGTTTTTGTTCCTTGCCTGTTTTTTGGATGGGCAAAGTCTTTGTCGCACATGTACGCGAGACTATGAGCATGCCCCCACCGCAGGAAAGTGGACAGCCTTCTGCGACATATATGGATGAGCTTGCCTGTATTATAGCTGATGCTTTTCACCGTGCCCTTCTCCAGAAGCTGCGTTGTGACTCTACCGTAAATGCTAAGAAGGGTGAGCTTGAAAATCCTTTGTGCAATGCTGTTCTTTTGTCTCAGCAGTGGAAGACAGTGGCGACGTGGAGGTGGAAGAAGCCCAGACACATCAACATTCAGGGGTCTCAAGTGGTGGAAGGCCTCATGAAAAGGCTGGCCCTGACGGAGCCCAAGTCCCGACATGTTGACGCCCTTGACTCCAACGTTGGACTTTGCTCGTTGGTCAAAGGCAGGTCCTCCTCTCGAGGTCTTCAACTTACCCTTTGTAGGATCCCTTTACCCAGCCTCCAGCACTTTGCCCCCACTCGCTGGAATCTCGCTGACCATCCCTCTCGTGACACCGACATCCCAAGTCCTCTCCCTTCGGGGGTCAGAGCGGATGCTTCCCTGTCTGAGCTGCTGGACTTTGCTCAAGGGGAATCTCTTCGCCGTCCTTTTTGCCAATTGGATTCGGCTTTTCACCCGCCTGCTCCCTGCTCCCTACGGCTGGCAATCCTCTTCAGAGAGCTGGAGATTCATTCAGCATAAGCTCAAGCATTTTCCCTTTTGGTACACCTTGCGTCGTGTCTCCAAGCCTCACACCCTGATGGATTTGGACTCCTCCTTGGGCTTTCCTGGAGAAGGGCCTTCGGTCTTTTGTCCTTTTAGACTTTCCATTTCTTTGTGTCGCTGGCTGACTTGGACTTTGCCAGCTTCGCTCCCTTTGTCTTTTCGTGCGTTCCTAGACTTTGCACTCTCCTGTCCATCTCTGCCAATCAACTTCCAGCCAAACCTCCACGTTCTTGTGAGCGCAGAGCTGCATCACGTGTTTTGCTGGAACTGCCTGAAGGAAGACCAGTGCTTGGCCAAACCCAGAAACAGAGAGACAGATTGCTGGATGGTTGTTTTCAAGAATGGCTGGAAAAGATGGGTTTCGCTGCAAGAAATTCTTTTTGTTCCTGAGCCTGACATCGAGACTTTGAATATCCAATGATAATTAGAGCGTTACGGTAGGTGTCTGTATAAGGCTGGCAGACCATGCAATCACTATGTCCAAACCATAAACGCACTTTCTGGAAAGCGGTCTCGAATCCGGCGCTTTTTGCGGCCGGCATGGGATCTGGCATCCTCATGGCTGCGCGCTGAGCCCCCATGGCACCATCTGGCGATGCCGTGAGTGGCAGGTCCATTTGGCCGTGCTCAGTACGGCCCTGCTATGTGGCTGGCCTCGAGTTGCAGGGATCATTGCTTTGTCTTGGAGAGGTCTGACCCGGATTGGTGAAGCTTTCATCTTGCTGCAGATCAATGAACCGAAGGCACGATTCAGGGCAGCCAGTCACCAAGTTGCCCAAGTAGACCAGCCCCAGCTTGTGAGGCTGATTGAAGTCGATTTCA